TAATGGTGGTTTCTTCCTCTACAAATATCCCCTGATTTCCCCTCATTTGCGCCCTTTGGGGATGTCGAATAGGTGGGGGTACTCCAAAGAAGTCAGCCAAACGCGTCATTTGCGCTGTAACTTGCTGATTCGATTGAGTAGTGTTTTGTATTAGAGGGTTTAGCACTGTACTCAAAGTTTGTGCCAACATTTGCACCATATCATGGTTGCTTTCGTCCATTTGTTGCCTCAAGACTGCTGTCGAGGCATTTGTAAGGCCATGGGCTACTTGGGACGTTCCTCCTAAGAGTTGGGTCCTATTTCTATTCGCCATGCCTACTCCAGAGCCTTGGAGTGGCGAAGAGGCACTCACGAAAGGGTCTGAAAAAGTGGACGCAGCATTCGTCAGGCTTGCCACTTCAGAAGTTGGCATACCATAGAATGGAATGAATCCTGGGGGAACCAAAGGCCTTGTGCCTAAATTTCCCCTTGGTGGGGGAGTTCCCAAAGGTATTCTGGGGCCTGTTAACGAAGTTATTGGCCCCGTGGTTGTGACTGACACTGCTGGTGTCGAACCAACATTTGTCGCTTCACTTACGGTCATACTAACCGTTGCTCCCACACTCGTTTGTGGGATTTCGTTATTGTTTGGCGGATTCGCCATCTCTTCCCTTCTTCTGGCAGTATTGTTATCGTTAGTGTATATTCTACCACTTCTCAATAACATACAACTCGAAAAGATGAGATTATTTTCAACAATCAACACACAGTCCCACCAGGTGTGCCAATTTGTTTACCTTGGGTTTTGGTAAACAACCGCTGATCCTCCAAATGGTTACTTATTTGGTTACTCGCAGGATCGATCAGATTGATCCTATGGACATAGGTTGATTTTGAAGTTTGATTGAATTGGATAAGGCTTTAAATTAAAATGGTTTCAAGTAAATTGCATAAAGGAAAGACTTGGTAAAATAAACAAGGCTTTAAAGTAAAAGGTTCGACAGGAAATGTAAAGGGAAAAGCAAGTAAAATTCTGGGAAAGTAAATGACTTTAATTGATAAAATTGGTGTTTCACACATACATTTCTCAACAATTCTTTCTCACACGCTGGGTACTCGAATCTATATGAGTGACTTTGTATAGAATTGTGAACACACGCGAGAAACTACATGTCTACTCCTATTTATAATAAAACATCCCAAGTAACCGTCGGGCAGTTACACTGCTTCGAGATCAATCCACTTGGCACGTTCTCCATGCTCGACGCTCCAGATCCTTGCACGTTTGCACGTGGTAACTGCTGGAAACCGCTTTCCCTCCAAACGCTTGAATTTCAAACTGCTCCACTCTGGACCATCGAACACTTTCGTCAAGAGACATCTTCGACGAGAAACTCCTTCGACGTCGAAGGCAATCAGCCTTCTTCCTTGGAAGAAATCTTCTAAGTACTTTGCCATCTTTCGACGGGCATTTCGACAGACTTAGCCAGTCGAAAGCATCCTTCAGCTTTTAATGGTTGACATTGATAAAACAAGAGTGTCGAATTTAGGAGCCAACAGGCACATCTAAGTGTATTTCGAAGAAAGGAATTCATATGTGAAGATGATCAAGAAGAAGTTTTCTCAGGTTTCTAGTCAAGAGGTTTGACATGAAAGTTACAAGCTATTGAAGAAGAACAAGAACATTATTTTTCCAACTTTCAAAATTTTTGCCCTGGTCTCTAATGAAGGGTGTCTTATTACTATTGTTCTCCTTGGAAGGAATTCCAGTCAGGTGTTGAAGAGGTTGGACATAATGTTTTGACCAAATGTCCAGAAAATTTGTACTAACTTCAGCATGTCTATGACGCTAAAATAAAAGTCTGGAACTTAAGTATAGATCAATCAAGGTCAAAGCATTCATATGAGTGTGGAGACCTTGGATCTTTTTGGAGCAGAATTCCCTACTTATCTCAAGAACAATTGTAAGGGTTTTCTATTTCTTGGCTTAATTAGGAAAGTTATCCTAATTATGTTTTACAAGGATATTACTGGTTTGACTGGAAGGACTTCTAATGAAGATTTATTATTTGAAGAATTATCTCATGATGAGCTGGAAATTTTGTTCTAAAATATATATATCTAGAATAAAAGGGGTTGTCAACCATGAAGAAATATAAGGTGATTTATTTCTGATCATATGTCTTAAGAAAATAAAGGATTATTTATCATCTTTTACTTGCAAGGTGAGGGGACTCTATTTGTCCCCAATCTTGATATCATGATCATGTATGTAAGGATAATTCAGATTTGTTGGAGAAGTTTCTGCAAGAAGGAAGATGACTGGAAGTTTAAGGAGGATAAGTTTTTTCTTTTAAGCTATAATTAGCAAAAAAAGGTTGTTTTCATCAAAAGGCAAGTTGAGTCAAGGATGTCAATCTTAATGTTTCAACATTGTGCTAGACATCAACATACTCATGCTAAAGGCAGAAACTTGCACTAAAGATATCTCTTTTGTGAAATGGTGGTGTGAACAGGTTTTTTTTGTTTGACTTCCTCAAAGATCAAGTTCAGTATTGGTAAACCAATCAGTGGTTAAAACTCAGGAAAGGAGTTTATTGCCTTATCTCTCATACCTTTATTAGAACTTCAACTAAGATGATTGATATTTTGACACTGGTATTTTCAGACACTTAAGTACATAAAAAGTGTTCCTGGTGGTTTGTTTAGGTCTCATGCTAATCAACTGTTTCTTTTGTTGTTGATGATGAAAGGAACGTTTAAGGAAATTGGATAACTAAAGAATTCAGGATGGATTCTTTAACTTTTGGTAATTTTTCTTATTACTGAAAGACTGATGGCTATTGTATTTCACATAAGTCAGTTGTGTGATCAAGGTCAGAAGGTATTTCTCATCAAGGAAAATTTTGTGTCTCTAAAGAGATGTAAGAAGTTCTTATGAGGATTTAAAAACAATTGTTATTTATGGATTTCACAAGTATTTAATTGCTTATACTTTTACTCGATGATCAAGCAAGATGAAGTCAAGATGTCACACCAGAAGGTGTAACATCAGATAGTTACAAAATCTCTAGAACATGTTCTATGAATCTGATTAGTTCAATGCATGATGAGTGTCCTGGTGGATAGGGGGATATATGGTATTCTCTTTTGTAATCTATAGCAAAGAAAAATATATTGTGAAGTCTTCAAAGGTTCTTATGTGGTCCTTGAATGAGAACATGGTATGTTTCTGAGTTACTCTATTGAGAAAGGTACTTTTAGTTATGATAACTTCATAATCAAAATCAGTGATGTGTTCATTGAGGAAGATATTGATGTTCAATCAGATGTTGGAACATCATCTCAGTAGTTTGTTACTCAGGAGATTGTGGAAGATTTTAAAGGGCTAGGATGCATTTAATAAGAAAGCTCTCAAGGAAGCGTTTTAGAAAGGGAGTTAATTATTTGGAGTTTATTTTGGTCTGTGATCATCATTTGTTTCAGAGATGAAATATGCAATGATGGTGAATCTTGGAGTAAAAAGCTTTTGGCCAAGTCTGAAGAAGATTGTATAATTGGAGGATATTCTGGTCTCTTGGATTATAATTAATTGAATCCTAGTATATCTTGAAGATTAGGTGGTGTTAAAGGAATATGTATTTTTCAATTGGGTTAATTACTAAAGGAGTTTTATGTCAAACTGGATGTCATGACATTGTAGTGTGACATGCTACTGCAATCAAGGCACAAGGATTTTATTCTGCTTGTAGAAAAAAGTCATTGGTTATGTCATCATTATGTTAGGGATATTGTTATCATGAAAGTATTGACACTTCTAATCTTGGTATAGCTAAGAAGATCGGGAAGTATTTTCATCTTAACTTGAGGTGTGTTATACCCCAATTTTTATCCCTAAGATCGCTCATCACATCATGTACATCTCATGCATATCATCGATTCCATGGTTATGGGATCAAAAGGCTCTTGACATTAGGTTTTTTCCCTATGAATTGAGGTTGCTACCTTACTCAGAGTTGATTCAACTGGCTCTCTCATCATTCTTGGTATGAAGTTAAGGTTTTGGAGTACAAGCATTATGGACGTCTTCCTTGGCAAGATTCCTCAAGATACAGGGTTTTTCTTCAAGGAACATGCGCTTTAAGATTTAACTTGTGTGCTTAAGACTTTATCATGTATTCACTAAGAATGTCATTGAGCTAAGTTTTGTTCCTCTCACCATCTCAAGCCTTCTCCATCCATATGCACTCAAGGTCCAGTGATTTAGGGTTTCTTTTATGATTGTGCCTAAGCATTGATGTTGGTTATTCAACAAATGATTCATTGTGCTAGGTTTTCTCCTCGAGGCTACATCATCATTATTCCTTCATTAAAAGTTTGTCATCAATTAAGATGGTTGAGGAGTATTTAAGGCTTTCATACAGTGAAGATGTTCTTTGTTGTTAAACTATAGAGTTGGAGGGTTACTTCTTGAATTTTTGATTTAATTAAAGATTAAGGTTCATTAAATTAGGGTATGCATATTGAGATTATATGGGTTATGTTTCTTTCCACATGTCAAGTCCTATCTAAGGATCACTCAAAATTATTTGTTCTTTCAAGCGCATAATTTTCTTGTATTGCAAGTTACCCTGAATTAAAGATTTGAATTAGGGTCCATGGGGGTGATCTGAAGATTCACTCAAGAAATGTCATTGAATTTCAAGCTGATTCAAGTTTATTCCATACCAATTCATCATTATTAATCCATTTAAAAGATCTCCCAAATGCATCATTCAAGTTTTCATAAAGATCCGAGGGAATTTGCAAAAATTCATTTGAACTTTTCATGGAATCTTTAAGTGTGAAAACAAAAGATAAGCTTCATTAAAGTTTGCTTTCAAAGGTTACAAGGTGGATTAATGTAGTTTTTCCCAGCATACATCATTATGTAATGTTTGAGATTCAAGTTCAAATGATGTTCATCATGATTTTCCAAACTCAAGTGATTCAAAATCACAAAGTTTCATCAATAATTATCCATGTATGAAGTCCATTCAATATTCTATTACAATTCGAAGCTAACCATGATTCATTACACAAAGTCAAGTTATTTCATTACCAAGTTACAAGAAAGTTGCAAGAGATACATAAAAAATTTTAAAGTCTTTTTTCCTAATTTTCACAATTTCCACCCTTTGAAACATTTCTTTTCATTCAAAATCCCATCTGCGTCATTATTGGAACTTATTCAAAACAGCATCCTGAACCTTGCTTCGATGCTCAACAAAATCTCATGCTATCAAAATTGTTCACACAAAGGCGTTGTTTCGGCTTGCTCCAATCCATCCGAACACCTTGAATCATGCCCTGCTGCAACTTTTTCAAACCATGTGCAGCCTTGCATTAGTGTAGAATTAGTTCAAGAAATTCTAAGAAATAATAGTTTAAAATCAAACTCAAACGGAAAACCAGTTTGGCATAAAATAGAAAACTCCAATCTCATTTCAATTCTGACTAGCAACTAATTGAAAAACCAGTTACAACAAAATTTGACAGCACATCTTAACTACCTTAAACCATCTCAACTAACTTGGAACTAACTGCTAACAGAATTCTCACTGGCAGTTATTAACAGAACTAACAGAATTTAACAGCTCTAACTGACAAATCTACACCATTAATCTTGTAACTAATTCCCATGATCTAGTGGCCCAAATGGATTAATTCATAATTGAATTCACAGAGCCAAGTCATATATAACACAAATTCAGAGATTTACAAAAGGGAGGATTCATTTTCCCCTATTCATAAAAAATCACAAAGACTCACCTCGGAGATTCTCTCTTCCACGCTTGAATTCTCATCTTCGTCTTCATCATTATCCAACTTCTAGGTGAATCACCATAACCACCTTTACGCTTCACGTATAGCACCATCACCGCAACATCAGAATTTCGTTCTCATTGCATCATTGTGCTTCATTCATCTCTCAAGGCCTCATCGATCTGTAACAGCTTCACTCCCTATCTGCTATCAAGTTCTTCAACCCGCAACGACAAAAATGTCATTATCATCATCCTAATCGTGTTATGCACGAATCAACGACAACTACGAAATTTCCTTAGGCCGCATAAAATGTGGAAACAGAGAAACGCGAAGGGATGAAGAGAAATGGAATTCACAGAGACGATGTATACCTGAATTTTGTTGGCAGAGCTTCCGTCATATTCCTCATTCTCGTCATTTTCAAAGAAGCCGGCGGAGCTACTCTGGTAGGTAAATGTTACTATCTCGTCTTCTCCCCCATTTCTTCATGTTCTATTGCACCTTCTTGTAGAGTATAGTCTTCAGGTGAGAGATTTTATGTAGTTTGTCTGAGAAATTATAGATAGGAGTATAGGTGAACGAGATGGAGAGGAGAAAGAAAAAAACAAATTAAAGTTGTGTGTGGTTGTTAGAAACAGAGATAATAGAGGTGAGAAGGGAGAACAGTCGCGGAAATATCGGTGGATAGCGAAGAAGAAGGCGCCGCGGGTGAGATGAGGGAGAAGGAGAGAGTTGTGTTCAATAATTCCAATGTTCACACCCAACCCTAATTTCACGTATACTCCATTCTTCAATTTCTCGTTTGTTTTCTTTTATTATTTTCTTTTAAATTGAAAATTGAGATAACAGTATATAACTAAAAAACAATTGGACTTATTGTTGTTGTGTTGATTCTGGGTCGAACCACCCCTTTTAGTCCATTGCTTCATTTTTGGAAGCCTGCTATTAGTTGAAAATAAATTGGTTGGACTTCATTGCTGATGGGCCTAGCACCTACAGCAACGACACCCCTGGATTCTGCTTCACCCCCTAACTATTCTAATTTCTTGTTGTTTTAATTTTTTTATTTTGTTAAATTTTCTTCCAACTTTCTTAATAAAAATTAGTGATAAACAATTACTAAATCAATGAAAATTTGTTAGTTTTTTATTTATTCATGAATATTCGATTATTTGGAGACTTGTGATTCACTTTTGCTTGTTGATATTTGAGTCTTATGTAGGTTTAGTGTGTGATATGCGGATATGCTTTAGTTTTCGATTGTGATTTATTTTCACATTGATGATGTCTCGACACTTATTCCAAGAATTCGATCTTTGACTGTCTGTTTGTTTATGCTAGCTCACTTGAAGTATTTCGGATTTCTTTGCTTTGGTTGAGCTTTTTGCGGACATTATTGTTCGTTTGGTATTATACTGCTCCAATTTATCTTTCTGCAATTTATTGCTTTTTAGATATCATGAGAAGTAGGAAATAAAGAGTGTGCGCTTGAAGTCGTTGTTTAAAGACCTCTAGCAAGCATTCCACACTTGTTTGTTAATTGTGTTTTTGTTTGATTTCATGGGTTGACGATCGATGATGTCACTCAATTAGGATTGAGATAACGAATTCAATCTTTGCATGATCCCCTTAGGTTTTTCATTTTCCTTTGTTGATGATTAATGATGTCACTCAATTAGAATTGAGATAACGACTTCAATCTTTGCATGTTCCCTTTAGGATTTTCATTTTTCTTTGTTGATGATCGATGATATCAATCAATTAGAATTGAGATAACCACTTCGACCTTTGCATGTTCCCTTAGGGTCGCTCGATTAGGGTAACTTTCGAGCTAGACATTAGGATAGTTACCCATGCAAGCTAACACAGGGTAGAAATTTCCCTTTCCATCCTTGACGTAGGGCCATCATTGTATGGTAACACTAGGTTATAGATAGGTTAGTCTCCCTTAGGCCTTTTTCTTCCCATTTTTCATAATTACATTTAAAACTAAAATTTATTTTCTTGGCAAACATATAAAACATGCTAAACATACAAAAATCCTTTTCATGGTAAAAAACACCAACTAATTCATTTCTTTTCTCCATTCGGCTTTTCTCTTCTGAGAATGTGTTGATTCCTTTCCACTACAGTGTGTGAGTCTCTAATGGTTGAGCGGTAGTGGAATGATTAAATTCTACATTATTCATTTAAAAAATACAAACAAATGGAAATTTGTGAGTCGAACTACGGTGTTCTGATTCCTTAAAAGGGATACATAGGCATCTGGTCACGGGGCTCAGCCGGGCAAAAATTTGTAAATATTTCCTTCTTTTCCCCGTGTTTTCTTTGCATGCATTCCCTCTTAGCATTTTTTTTCTTTTAGCTTTTAAGCATTAGGTTAAACACACCTTTTGATTAAAACAACAAGAGTGGATCCCATAGAGTACTACGGATGTGAGAGGTGCTAATACCTTCCCCTCACGTAATCGACTCTCGTACCCGATCTCTAGGTCACAAGACCTTGATTTATCCCTTTACGTTTTACTTTGATGATTTTCCTTTCTGTTGTACACTGAGATTTTCCCTCCCATTTTCTTCAAGATATCTCCTTATCTCCTAGGGTTTTCAATTGCTCAAGGTTAGACAAGACAAGCCCTTCTCCTAAGCAGTTGACCTAAAACTAGGGTTTCGCTTTTCTCAAGGAAGATTGGGCCTCTAATATCTCAAGTGGATTCCATGGTTCCTTATATGTCTCAAGGAATGCTCATGCCAAATTTCAAGCCTTGCATCACGAGTTTGCTCAGTCAATTGCTCAGATGACTAAAAATCAATTGTATTGGGTAAAAAGTCAATTATGGTCAACATACAGTCAAACTTTAAGATTTTTGGTCAACATCCAGATTTTAAGGTCACATTCATCATTTGATCAAGGATTGATCATGATTCATCAAGAAAACTCTCAATTCACCAAAAGTCATAAGTTACCAAATTAGGGTTTTCTTAAAGAGAAGTCAAATGAACTTTGACCAAGCATAACTTTCACATGCTTCATAATATTTTTCCTCAACCAAAGTTCATTTTTAAGGAAATTCAATTCTCTATAACTTTGTCTCTCTAAGCTCAAGTCCAAAAATGCTTCATTTGAGAGATATGGGTCAAAACATTATAGGTCATTTCAAAAGTCAACAAAAAGATACTTTTTGTCAAGGAAACTTACATCAAGATAAAGTCTTCAAATGGAAAAATGATCAATATAGAGGTGGTAGGGTACATCCTGAGCTTTCCAAAAAGTCCAAGATCTCCTTCATATGATAAAAATTGAGAGAGTTGTGATTGGTGCAAGTTGGGTAATTTTGAGAAAATGCATGAAACCTAAATTGATCAAATTTAAATTTTTGGGCTAGTGGGCTTATCTTTCAAGGTCCAAATGTGTTTTAGACCTCATATTGAACCTCTGAATCTACTCGTACACCCCTTTGATTTTTATTCCATTTTTTTTATTTAAATTCAAAATTAAATTAAACTAAATCAAAATTCTCATACAAAAGTCCAAGCCCATCTTGTGTTGACCTAATTCACAGCCTATATATTCCTCTCATTCAGACAACAAAGAGACACGAAAAACCTTGCAAGAAACCACTTTCCAAAAACTTCAAAATTTGTCAAAACTATGGCAAATTGAAACCCTTCTTTTCAGCCTTCCTCAAGGCCAAACAACCATCTCATTCAACTTCAGGGACATTATATGGTAATAATGGATCGATTGTGATGATCCAAGAGGCATGAAATGTATAACCATGCATCAACATTTCTCATTCTTGCATGAAATTTGTATTTTAATTTTTATCATGCTTTAGTTGAAATTAGAATCACTAATGTTCTTCTGAGATGTTAATATGCAGGCCTCCATGATGCCAGGATCATGTGTTGCCATGTTTGCACCGTTTGACCTTATTTTCTTTGTATCTCTTTGTACATGGAGTATTAGCCAAAACCAAGTCCACCATTGAATTCGCAAGGTCCAAATTAGGGGGGTAGGGTCCCTTTGAACAACTAACGTTTGTTATTTTGCAGGTACAAGAAAAAAAGTCGTCATAGAAGACGACCGGAGCTAGGACCCCGGCGCCTCACCAGCCAAGTATATTATGGTTATTTTTGTACCCCAAAATTTTCCCTCTCACTTATCAAGATTTTGCTCACAAGATCTCTTTGGGCTCAAGACTGCACTAAGGTTTGATCAGCTCAAGACACCTCCATGAGCACTAATGACCAAAATTAGGCTTTGAGATTGAACAAGGATTTTGGAACTTCTAATGCCACATATGAATTTCATGGATCATTATGGGCCCCCAAGATTACTCATGTCAAGTTTTAAGCCTTGGATTACATTTTTGATCAGTCAATTGAGCAATTGACCTAAAAATCAGTTGTATTGAGGGAAAAGTCAACCATGGCCAATCTACAGTCAAACTTCATAATTTTTTATCCATATCAACATTTTAAATTCATATGTATCATTTTATAAAGTTTGGATCACAACTCCTCAAGAAATTTGATCAAATCTCCAAAAGGGCAAAATGGTCAAAATTAGGGTTTTGACTGGGAAAGGGCAATTTCTGGTTTTTGACCTAGAAAATAATCAAATGGTTTAAGGCATGATCTCAAGAGTCCAATTGAATCATTTTAACCTAATGACATGGTTCAAAACATTGCAAGT